GGCAACGCTACCAGTATCACGGTAACGAGCGATGGTACGAGATACATACATACGAGATACGAGATGCTGGAGTGCTCTAACGATAGCCACTTGTGGTTTTCCAGCCAAATATAAAGAAAGCACACTATCACGCTTGAATTCCATCACGAATAACTTTTTTTTTGGAAAATTCTCACCAAAATGCTTTTGAGCGCTTGTAAACAATATAATGAGCTGTCTCTTGACAGCTGTCGGACGAGTGGCTTAGAAATGACAGCAGTCTGAAGTTAGTTGCCGTTTTTTTCATCTCACCCTGTACAGATATATTGTACATTTTTATACACATACATAATCTTAATTATCAAATATTTAATAATAATTAACAATATTATTATTAACAAAAATCCAATGCTACGCATATTGATGTTGGTTTATTCCCTTGGTTTCGTCACAATGACAAGAACGGGAAAATGTTGCAAATGTTGAGAAAAGTATAACTGTTCGGTATTAAAATAAAATTAAATTTTGAATGAAAATGAAAGTGGAAATTGAAAAAAACACACACAAAATACCTAAACAAACCCTATGTATGTAATTTTAAATATAAGCTGATGTAACAAAACCAAACTATAAGTTTAAATTTAAGTTCAATTTGAAACATGAAAACAAATATACGATGATATTCAAAGATTAATACAAGAATAATGAATAAGATTGAAGAAAAATGTTGAAAAAATATATAACTGTGTGGTCTTGTGCGGTTGAATGAAAGATAATGATGTATTCTTTTAGGAAACCCCTCATGATTGGACTATTTGGCAGGCACGCATACCTGGAAATTGCATGGGTTTTGTTGGGGCAGGACGGACGACGAACATTCACCGAATGTCACCCAATAACGGAAACGTGAAGGCATGCCTCGTTATGATAACCATAACAATGCGAACATTCCAGCATAAACAAAACATAACTTATCCTGGCAACCAAATACATAGTTATGTTGTATAATCAATACAACATGTATTAACCCATTGGTATGCAGGCATGTTGGAGTGGTTTAAATTTCATGCGACTAACAAAAAAGTTAAAAAAATATGTGATTTTTACCACAATATTTTGTAATGAAACAAATTTTAAAGGATCAGTCGGGTTTCCCGACAGATGTATACCCTCAGCAAATGGGAAAAGTGTCAGAAGGTGTGGTTTCATATTTACAATCTTCACACCGGATCTTATGTTAATGAAATTTGAAAATAATCGAATTCTTATATCGATTTTTTATGAGAGTCATAATTATACAAAATTTTTACCCGTTGTGTGGGAGGTACCAGAAGGTAGGGACGCAAATATTTCATCTTCAAAAGAAAGATTGAAAGAAATATTGGGATAAGTTAAGTTTGAGCTTGAGCTTTGTGGTTATTCAAAATGTTGACTCATTGTGTGTACCTCCAGAAGTAGTGGTCCTTTCTAACCTTCTTTATACTAGATCTTGCGTTGAGATGTATGTAATCGGACTCTTCAAGGACTTTCACATTTTGTAAGATTTGTAATTATCCCAAATTTTGACTCTTTGTGAGGAAGGTACTTGGTGGATTGAGCTGATATTTTCTATTTTCACACCTGACCTAGCACTGACAAAAATATTGAGATTGTCGAAGTTTGCACAAAATTGAATGATCCTAAAATGTTGACCTTTTGTGGGTGAGCCGCCAGAAGAGTGTTGCCTATCTCCGAATTCGATCTAAGTTTCACAATAACATTAAGATGTACCAAGCTTGAATCAAATCGGATACTCCCTTCTAGAGTTATGGTGCGCACCAGCCAGCCAGCAGACGGACGGATGGACAAACCTAAATCGACTCCAAATGTCCTTTGTCCTTTGGTCCAAATAGACCAACGTTTTGACATCTGTAGCCATATGGCTGAGGGTATACACAAGTTTTGCCATTGACGTAGTGCACATTTTCATCAATTGGCGCCCAATGCTAATTGAGGAGAAAGTACCAATGGATGGGGTTGGTCTCGGAGTGTTCCACGTTGTATGCATCAGTATGAATACTTCTCAAACCTGTATGATGTGCTTCTAGATTTAGAGCCTCTCTCTTATAGCATTTTACATCACTCTATGGACAGAGTTGGTCCTTTCTGACATGCCTGAATGGAGGAGTTCTACCAGTTCTATCAAATGATAGTTTAAGTGACTCCTAAAGATTATGTTGACATACAGGAAGATCCTTCGTGTTCTCATGTAGGTTGTCCACTATTGTAATGAGGAAGCACCCACTGCCAGGTCTCAAGGTGAGAATACATAGAACGCTTTTATGAATGGCTTAAGTCACCGGCTGGTTTTTTTTTTATAAAAGAACAAAGGAGTGAGCAAATATACCTGATGCGCCGAAACTGAACTCAGTTAACCTAAAACTTCTTTGTTATTTTACAAAGAAGCCAGCCGATGACTTAAGCCAAAAACATGTAAACAGGTAACAAAGTTAAAAAAAAAACGAAAACTACAACTTAAATAAAAACCGTTATAGGGGGACTATATACAGACGTGGACCTGCATACAAAATTGTTTGTACCCATTACGAACTACAAATACGAAATTTGAAATAATTCCGGTAAATAATATCGCTAAAATCGTTAAAATACCGAAAATCAGGAGGTACCGTTAATATGGGGGCTATAGGAAGACTTGGACCTGCATACGAATTCTTCTTGCCATAGATTGTAGTACCCATTAAGATCTTCAAATACGAAATTTGAAATCATCAAAATATGGAATAAAGGGAGGTACGTTATATGGAGGCTGTACGAAGACGTGGTCCATCATAGGAAATTTTTCAGGCATAGGTTGTAGTACCCATTTAGATCTTCCAATACAAAATTTTGAAATGATTCCGTTGAAAATCATCAACACTCCGAATATCGGGAGGTATAGAAATATGGGGGCTATACGAAGACGTGGACCTGCATACGAAATTTCTTGCCATAGGTTGTAGTACCCATTTAGAACTCCAAAAACGAAATTTGAAACAAATGTTGGCGAATAACCTACATTCCAAATTTTTGGCATATGCTGTAGTACCCATTACAAACCTCGAATTCGAAATTTGAAACCATTCGAAAATATGTCGTTAAAATCATCAAAATACCGAATATCGGAGGTACCGTTGTATGGAGACGTGGACCTGCATACAGAAATGTTTGTCATAGGCTGTATGAATAGACTTGGGTCGTTCCGGAATTAACTAGTTCAAACGAGTCACTCCGTAGAAGGAACGATACGAAATATATACATCTCGTTCGTTCATCTTCATCTACTACAGTTAGTTCACACATTGCTTTACTATTTAGAAAGAAGGAACGATAAAGTAGGATGGGACAATTGAGCTGAATGGAAAGACCGAATTAAAAAGGAACTAAAGGACCTAACTCACCCTGAGGAAAGGAGCGAATAATATCGACCCGTTTAGTGACTAGATTACCCAACTCGAGTTTTGAATACTTTTGCACTGCATAGCACAGTGCATGGAGACGGCAAGTTATGTGAGGCAACAAGTCCAATTAAACTTATCGAACCGGATATCTATAAAATATATATGTAACCATCTTTTGGAAGCAGAATTCCCTGATTAGCACTACGAGATTTGTAAATCTTGTTTTAGAATTCGACGTCTGAATTGCGCACTTATAAAAATGTTTATCTCTCTCCATCGATATGCGTTCGCTTTAGGCAACTCCAGACAAAAACCGAGGTAACTGATGAGGATGTCTGACTGGCGCCCAAACACACCCACCAAGTGTTTAGAGAGGTACCAGAGGCAACGGTCCGATCTCTACCATCTTTATAACAGATCTTGTGTTTATGAAAATAATGAGATGTGCCAAGCCTAAATCGAATCGGATGTTAAGCTGGGAATACATTAAGCGCATATTTGGCTGGCTTAAGTCATCGGCTGGCTTCTTCGGAAATGAACAAAGGAGCCTAGGGCCAAAATCGAACTAGGTCAACCTAAAACTCCTTTGTTCATTTACGAACAAAGGGGAGGTACCAGAAATAGTGGGCCGATATATTCCACCTTCACACCAGACTGTAGCTTAACGAAAATATTGTGATCTGTGTTATTTGAAGAGAACCGGATGCTTATTTCGGATTTTATGATCGTTTTGGCTATTCAAAATTTTGAACATTTTTGGGGGTGGTACTTGACGGAGTGGAACGACATTATCCATTTTCGCATCTGACATAGCGCTGATGCAAATATTAGGATACCAGAAGGAGTGGAATGATGTTTTGAATCAAATCGGACCCTCTCTTCGAAAGTTATTGTGGGTACCAGCCAGCCAGACAGACGAACGGACATCGCTAGTTCGACTGTCCTGAAACGGATTTGGTCAAAAGAGACCTAGGGTCTAAAACCGTTATTTCGATGAGGCACGTTTTGGCCGTATCATCTTGTTTTAGAATTCGACGTCTGAATTGCGCCCAAACACTTGGTGGGTGTGTTTGGGCGCCAGTCAGACATCCTCATCAGTTACCTCGGTTTTTGTCTGGAGTTGCCTAAAGCGAACGCATATCGATGGAGAGAGATAAACATTTTTATAAGTGCGGTTGTAAGAATTTGTTTCCTCCGATTCTCTATGTGAATATATCTATGCCGAACGAAATATCCATGGCAGACATTATTTCCAAATATGGGAAGGTTATTGGAAAAAATTTTGCAGGCATCCCCATGAGAGAAATCCTAGGTGAGAGTACATAAAACTTTTCTGACTGGCTTAAGTCATCGGCTGGCTTCTTCGTAGAGGAACAATGGAGTTTTAGTTTGACTTAGTTCGATTTTGGCCCTTCGCTCCTTTGATCTTTTCCGAAGAAGCCAGCCGATGACTTAAGCCATTCAAAAAAGCGTTTTATGTATTTTCACCTTTATCCTCGCTCACTCCATTCCAAATCTTAAACAATTTTCTTTTATCATCGTAAGACCTTTGAAATGTTATTTTATTCGCCTCCCAAAGGGTTAAGACTACTTCTCTCTTTTTTTGCAAATATCCATGCACAATTCATACCTTTCACCTACAACCACAGGAAAAGGGAAAGCCAAATTAACCAGCACCACCACCACTACCAGTAGCAGCAGCATAAATTGCTCTATTTATAGATTGTTGACAGAGAGGGGGGAGTTGCAAGCAGCCCAAGTGTTTTGTAGTTATGGTGACATTATGAAAATTGAATACCAAACAAAACTTTGATTTGAATTTTTTGATTTTTCTGGATTCAAGAAAAGTCATTCGAATAGATAACTTCGTATCCTCAATCGCAAATTTCTTAAAATCAAATTATTAACAAAATGTTGAACAGTATGCGAACAAAACGATTGAATGGCCTTCACTTGACCGGTTGCAATGCAGGACCCATGGCTAGGTTACCACCCAAATATTCCGATGAGGACTGGGATTTCAATAATAAGGTTAAGCTGCGTATAACCTGTGATCAGGAACGTTTGGCCGAACGTATTATGGAGTGAGTCAGGGTGACTATGAAATCTATTGGAAATGGTGAAAATTATTGTTCTTCCAGGGAATCGCGTCGGGTCATGGACGATGTGAATGACACCACCCGAAACTGGCAACGCGAAGTGGAACATCAAATGCGGGAGAGGGCCAGTGAAATTCGTTTTCTCTGCGATGAGCTGAATAAACAGAAGAAGACAGCCCTGCTGGAGGATGAGGCATTGAATACCTATCGGATGCGTATTTTAAATGCCATTGGATTTTTGAAGGAGAAATCCTTGGCGATTTGCCAGCGCTGTTTGGTATTGCGTGAGGGACGTTTGGGAGTGGATCTGTGTGAAGATGAAGTGGATCGTTCTTTGCGCTGCGAGCTGAAAGTTATCAAGGGCTGTCAGTGTCTTATGGATAAGGCTCTGAAGGAGACCAATGAACAGTTGCGTAGACTGCGTGCCACAATGTATTCATTGGATAAAGATCTCTCGCAAAAGGATAAGTCGCTGATGATTGATGAGAAAAATTTGACGCTGCGTGGAAGTCAGAGGGAGATGGGAGCTAGTGATTTGGCCCATCATCATTGGTAAATATATTTTGAAATATTTTGGAGAATTTAAGGAAATCGAACATTTACATCCAATTTTATGCGAAATCTTAAATTTCGATAAATCAGATTTCTGGTCAAGGCAAGTTGTAAAGAATCGCCGACTTCTTCACAACAGATCTTGCGTTAGCAAAATCATTTGGATGTGGGAAATTTGAAGAGAGTTGGATGCTTATTTCGCTTTCTTTGAGCGTTTTGTTTTTCAAAATCTTGAACCATACGTGGGGAGGTAACTGAAGGAGTCGACCGATATATACCAGAGGGAATGGGCCGATCTCTACCATCTTTATAACAGATTTTGTGTTGACAGAAATATTGAGATGTGCCAAATCTGAATAGAATCGGAAGTTAATTTCGTGTTTTATGAGCTTCATGAATATTCAAAATTTCGAGTCTTTCTGGGGGGAGGTGAACCGATATATTCCATCTTCGCAGCAGATCTTGTGTTAGTTGAGATAATGGGATGTGTAAAATATGAAGAGAACCGGATGCTTATTTCGGATTTAATGATCGTTTTGGCTATTCGAAATTTTGACTCTTTGTGGGGGAGGTACCAGAAGGAATGGTCCGATATCTAACATCTTTATAACAGATCTTTTGTTTACGGAAATAATGAGATGTGCCAAGCCTGAATCTAATCGGATTTTAATTTCGTTTTATGAGCTTATTGAATATTCAAAATTTTGATCCCTTTGTGGGGGAGTTACACGAAGGAGTGGACTGACATATTCCATCTTCACACCAGACCTTGGGTTAACAAAAATATTACGATGTTTGTATTTTGAAGGAAATCGGATACTTATATCGGATTTTATGATCGTTTTGATTATTCAAAACATTGACTCTTTGTGGGGGAGGTACCAGAAGGAATAGTCCGATTTCCAGCATCTTTATAACAGATCTTATATTTATGGAAATATTGAGATGTGCCAAGTCCGAATGGAATCAGATGTTAATTTCATGTTTTTTGAGCTTCATGAATATTCAACATTTTGATCCCTTTGTGGGGAGGTATCCGAAGGAGAACAAAAATATTGCGATGTGTGTAATTTGAAGAAACCGGATGCTTATTTCGGATTTTATGATCGTTTGGATTATTCGAAACTTTGACCCTTTCCCATGAGGTGCATAAAAAGTTGCTCTATTTCTCTAACTTTTCTCTTTTCAGCCAATATTCTCTGAGTGAATGGCAACATACAACCTATAAAAACTTGGAAACCAATGCCCGAGAACTAAATTCGGCAGCTCAACTGCGAGCCTATGTCGATTTGCTGCTGAAACAAGTCTGCGAAGATATGCAAAATCAAACGGATCGCACAAATGAGGCCTTCGCCCATCGCATTGCCGAACAGAGACATGTTAAAGCATGCCTGGAGAATAAACACAACGACACCATGAATCACATACATGAAGTTCAGCAAAACCTGCAACTACTCGAAAAGGAAATATGCGATAAAAATCGTGCTCAACAGTTGTGTTTAACGCGTCTGGGTAATCGTGCTACACGCCCGGGCGTTGAATTGACATGCGACGAAGTACAAGATGCTCTCTATCACGAGTTGGAAGCCTTGAAGGCATCTCTGTGTAAACTGAATGCCAAGGTGCAGGAGAATAAGGCATCGCTGCGTTACCTGATGCATGTCCAGGTCATGCAGGAAGAGGAAATCAATATAAAAGCAAATTCGATAAAGATTGATGAAGTAGATTGCATGACAATACGTCAAGCTTTGAAATATCAATCTTTTTAAACGTGGAACCATTGATTTGAATAATTTGTGTAGTTTCCGATTTCAGTTACGTAAATAAATATACAAAATTTATTCCAATTTAGCAAAATATATGTGTATTTTTAATTTACGGGGTTCAACGGGTGATTAAATGCTGGGGGAGCATAATCGAGAAATATCACAGGGACGAAGTGTCGATAAACGTGTGTCCGCAAATAATATCCTATCACCAAATCAAATCACCCCTATAACAGAATAAATGGGAGTTCCCATTCACAAAGGGACTGCGAATTCCCATTCACAAAGGGAATGCTTAATGCATTCACAAAATAGAATGTCGTGGGAATTCCCATTCACACTAATTCGCTCCATACCGAATTATGAGAACAAATAAAATCAGCTGTTTTTTCGAACATTAAAGTATTGATCTGTTTCCGAACTGCTAGAATGTACAAGTTTGTGCTATGATAAATGATTTTTCTTTATGATATCAAAGAAAATTGCAAAACTAGTATCGTAAAGGGATGCCAGAGCAGCACTCGAATCCTGCGTCGCTTTTCCTTACAATTTTACATTGATATGCCTAGTCATGATGCCAAGCTGCTTTTGTATCTACACCTTTAAGGTGTAAGTACATAAATAGCTTGAAGTTTTCGCATTACATATTTTGAGACATATCATAAAGGCCGCATTCAAATTTTGCCGTCGTGTCCCTTTACGACTAGCCATGATGCCAAGCTGCTTATGTACCGTCACCTTTACGCTTTTTATTTTATTATTATACATTTTTAGTCAAGGTCCACATAAGATTTGACAAGAAGTCTAAAGGTGGAAATACATAAAGCGCTTATTTGGCTGGCTTAAGCCATTCACTTTCTAAAACCAAAAAAAAGCCAGCCAAATAAGCGCTTTATGGCACATATTTATAAAAAAATAATAAAAAAAAAACAACGTAGTAGTGATTAAACAATTGTGATTTAACTTTTTTTAAATCGCAATTGTGTATTTTGACAGCATACGTAGTTTTTAGATAGGCTTACGGAAGTAAAAGGATGTCTAATTTTCTTTTAAATTTGTCATCAAAATTTTTTGGTCATGTGGTTGAAACATAGTTTAAATGCCCCCTAATGCAAATTGTTTGCAGATTATTTAAGTATTCCTTTCCTATGAAGCTTATTTTCAATTACATTTTTATAAAAATGCGTCTTTATTCAGTATTTCCTCGTTTTAAAGACGCTAGCCGCAATACGCCTTACGTCGCCATTCTTATTGAGTTTAAATATCCGTGTAAGAACGTCGGGCAATGTAAAAACGCCTCATTCTTAATGTCAAAACAACTCACACATATACATATTTTTTCGGCATATTTCTTGATAGACAGATTTTTACAATTTTTATTATTTTAATAAATAAGAGATAATTAAACATTTGATTACAACAAATGTAAGTATATTATACAATTTACACATATTTAATATTATATAGAACACGGCGTACGAAAAAATACACAAAACACCACTTCATAAAAACTCATTACGTTTCAACATGTTTATTTGATAAAATTGAGAAAAACTTATGCATTTTTTATTTCCCTTGCCTTTTTAAAGATATTTTCCAAATTGTGGTAATGTTTTACACCTTTTCCACTAATTTTTACTAAATGCTCTACTTTTATCCTCTTTTCCTGCAGCATTATGTCGAAACGTGCTGCTGACGACACCAGCGGTGGTGGTGGCTCTGCAGGCTCCGCTGCCAGCTCAAATCTTGGCCAGCCACCAATTAAAAAGGTTCACTTCGAGCCTCACTTGATTGGCCCCGTGTCCACTTTGGAAGAAATGGACATCAAAGTACTAGAATTTCAAAATAAAAAGCTAGCCCAACGCATAGAGCAACGTATGCGTACAGAAGCTGAGCTAAGGCATCGCATAGAACAGCTTGAGAAGCGACAAACCCAAGATGATGCCGTACTGAATGTCGTCAATCGTTATTGGAATCAGTTGAATGAAGACATACGCGTTTTATTGCAAAGATTCGATGCCGAAACGGCAGATGAATTGGAAAATCGAAATGAAAATGAGGTCACCACTTCATTCCTGACCCAATTGTCAACATGGGACAAGGAAGAATTGGATGATAAATTGGCAAATCGTGTACAAGTCTCAAAGCGAGCTGTGGCCAAAATTGTCCAGGTCATCGATCGTGTTATGCAAAGAAATGAAAAAATAACAATGGCCTTGAAGGGAGAACCCCAACCGCCGGCTTCTGCCGCTGGTGCTGCGGCTGAAAGTGCAGGCGAAGAATCACAAACCGACTCTGCCACCAACAATGCTTTGCCCAATATCGAGGAAACCCTCAAGCAGCATCACATTGAAATTATGACCGAAAATCGTAGTTTACAAAACCTAAATACATCGCTTCATGAAAAATTCCATACAATGTCACTAAAAATGAAGGAATATCAAGATGCTCTGACGGCAAAAGAAACAGAAAATGCCGAACTTAAAAATCAAATTGATGAATTGCAATATGATTTGGAGAAAATCCATTGTCGTAATGATAAATTAGAAAATCATTTGGCAGAGGCTATAGAAAAGCTAAAAGCTTATCATCAAATGCATGGTGATCCCAACAAGAGTTCCTCTTCGTCGAAAGGTTCGGGGCATGCCCATGTCAGTAGCCATCAGGTTGAGGATCTACAAAAGGAGTTGGAGGAATATCGTGAATTGGCCAATAATCGCCTGCAGGAGTTGGATAAATTGCATGCCACACATCGAGAAACTCTGAAGGAAGTAGAGAAGCTGAAAATGGATGTAAGTATATGGGGAGTATCGAGAAATGTCAATGAAGTTTCAGTAGAGGAAAAATAAGCAAACGCATTTACAGAGGAACGTTTTTATGCGCAAGAAAGGGACTGTTAAATAAAACTTCAAAAATAAATTAAAGAAGCTAAATACTGTGACATATTTTTATAAAGCCACAACTGAACTAAAAATGTTGTCAAGGCTCTTAACACTGTTCTAAATTTTCAAAATACCTCCCTAAAACTATCGTAAAAACCACGATTGTGGTTCTATTAGATTTTGAAAGTGTTCCTCAAAGTCTTCGATTGATGCTCTGAAAATGATTTTAAAATATATCCACTATTAAGACCATAATATATCCTGAAATGCTTTTAAAAACCTCCGTTTAAAGACTCCAATAGCCCCTAAAAACTGTTCTTGAGCAACCAACGTTTAAGGCAAAGCTTGTCCCTCAAAACAGGCCTAAAAAATTCCCCAACTAATTTCCAAAAATTCTGAAATATAACTATTCTTAAAAAATGAAATATGTTCTTAAGAAATCAATAATCGAGTCCCCATTGGTATCTGCAAATGGATCCTAAAATATTCAGAACTGAGACGTAAATAGTCTCTGGAAGCTGTTTTTAAAACCATGAATCAAAAGATAAATGTTTACGTTACTAATATACGCTTAAAGCGCTAATAGTGTTTGAACTACTGTTCTTGATTCAGATTTTAACCAAATTTGTGTTTATATCATGATAGTGTCTATAAAATGCCTATGATAGTTCTTAAAAAAGAATATATAAACCTTCATCATTCTTAAAAAAATATCCTTGAATTAAAACCTTTTTTCTTCTTTTATTTCTCAACAGATTCGTCAACTTCCCGAATCGGTTATTGTCGAAACAACCGAATACAAATGTCTACAATCTCAATTCTCTGTTCTGTACAATGAATCCATGCAAATCAAGACTATGCTGGACGAGACCCGTAATCAATTACAGACCAGTAAGAATCAACATCTGAGGCAAATTGAGGTAATGGAAAGCGAAGAGCTGATTGCCCAGAAAAAGGTACGCAGTGAAATGATACAAATGGAAGATGTATTGGCACAGATACGCAAGGAATACGAAGCCTTACGCATTGAATATGAACAAAATATGGCGGCGAACGAACAAACGGCCCCCATTAATCGGGAGATGCGTCATCTGATTACGTCGTTGCAAAATCACAATGCCCAGTTGAAGGGTGAGGGATATCGTTACAAACGTAAGTATAAAGATGCATCTGCTGATAATGTGAAATTGCGTAGAGAGTTGGAGGAAGCTTTGGCCAAGTTGGAGGGCACTAAACAGAATACTCCCAGCCAGGGATCCAATGGGGATGATGTCAAGCAAGAGGGTGCAGCAACAGTCAAAGATGAATTTGCTGGGTCCTCTGGTGGTTCGGGCAGTAATACCAGTGCCTCGAACGAGGGTCTTAATGTGAAAGAGGAGGGAAGTGCCAATATAAAGTCGGAAGATGAAACAATGGATGATGATCTGAGCAAAGATCAAAAGGATGGCATTAAGAAAGAACAATCCTCACCAGGTGGACCGGAAAAGAAAGATGCCGCGGCGGCAAATGCAGCCGGTTCCACGCCCACCGGGGCCTCTGGAACAGGTGCTGCTGTCATCAAGCAGGAAAAGGACGCCAAGGATGCCCAGAAAGCGAAGGATATTAAAACTCAAGAGTCTGAAATGGTGCGCGATCTGAAAGCCCAGCTAAAGTAAGTTGTTTTGATTCAATAGTTGATTGTTTTATTTTATTTACTCAAATCTAACGCCTTTGCAGGAAAGCTCTAAACGATCAAAAGGAAATGAAACTACTACTCGACATGTACAAAGGTGTTTCCAAGGATCAACGTGACAAAGTCCAACTGATGGCTACAGAGAAAAAGTTGAAATCCGAAATCGAAGAGCTACGCCAACAATTAAAAAAGCTACAGGAAAGCAAACGTGAGGAGCGCAAAAAACTTGCCGATGAAGAAGCCCTACGCAAAATCAAGCAACTGGAAGAACAGAAATATGAACTGCAGAAACAGGTGGCCAGTCAAAAACCTCCAGATAATGCCTGGGGTCCGGGTGGGCCAAACTATGCACGACCGTTTGTGGGCTCCCATGAGGAGGAGGCCCTGCTAAACGAGATGGAAGTCACTGGGCAAGCCTTTGAAGATATGCAGGAACAAAACTCAAGACTTATACAACAGCTGCGCGAGAAGGACGATGCCAATTTTAAATTGATGTCGGAGCGCATTAAGGCCAATCAAATGCACAAGTTATTGCGTGAAGAAAAACAAATTCTGGAAGATCAAATGGCTACCAGAGATACTCAAATAGAAGCCATGCACATAGTTCTGCGGAAGCTGGAGGAGAAAGAACGTAGTCTGCAAGCCACTGTTGCGGCTATTGAAAAGGAACTTGTACTGCGGCAGCAGGCCATGGAAATGCATAAACGCAAGGCAATTGAGTCGGCACAATCGGCGGCAGATCTCAAACTGCATTTAGAGAAGTATCATGCCCAAATGAAGGAGGCTCAACAGGTGGTGGCCGAAAAGACCAGCTCTCTGGAAGCGGAGGCGTACAAAACGAAACGGCTGCAAGAAGAATTGGCCCAATTCAAACGCAAAGCAGAGCGTATGAAGAAAATTGAAATGGCCGGTACCACAATCGATGAAGTTATGCTCGAAGAGATTAGAGAATACAAGGAGACGCTCACGTGTCCCTCCTGCAAGGTTAAGCGCAAGGATGCTGTGCTGTCGAAATGTTTCCATGTCTTTTGTTACGATTGTTTGCGGACACGCTATGAGACGAGACAGCGTAAATGTCCCAAATGTAATTGTGCATTTGGTGCCAATGACTATCATCGTTTATATTTAACTTAAGTTGCATACATACCTGCACACATACACACACCTTAAACACATGCATTCACACTCCCCCCACACTCAACAGACAGCAAGCAGAAGGAAAAGTGGCCCGAACCAGGGTACTTTTAATTCATTATACTTCCATTACAGCGTCTTTGTTTACTTTGTATTTAGTGAATTTAGTACTAAATGTTAGTGAACACTATAATTATTATGATTTTTTTTTTTAATCCTAGAGGATAAAATATTTTCCTTTCAAAATTTAGTTTCACTTCAATTTAATAATCTATGTGTATATCCATTGATGGAGAAAAACATAAATGCAAGAAAACACACATAATAATAATGATAAAAATAAATATTATATATTTAGAGTATATAAAAAACATTAATAATATTAAAAAAAATATGATTTTTTATTAATGAGAGGGGAGCTAAAATGAGATAGGTTTCTGGAATTAATTTTTGAATACTATAAAAGGCTGTTGCATGAAACCCTGAACTGAACGAATAGCGCCGGTGTTGATATGCTTCAACAGAAAAAGTTTAGCCGACTACAGAAGCGATGAGAAAATAACGGGCGTCGCTTCGAATCAGATGATAGCTTATTACGTGAAAACAATGTTTGGCTGAGCCATACTTATACAAACCCAAGTAACAAAATTTCGTCAGATTCATGGGTAAATCCCTTCAAAACCCCATATATACCAAAAACAAGTAAAAATGGCGTTAAGGTAGAATGAGAGTATAGAAAATATATGATAGCTTGAAGTATAGCTAATTCGTACTAGAACGGTTCGAAAAGTATTAAAAGGTACTAAATATGGTACCCTTGGTATTTGACGAAGCAGTAGAGCTAGAACACTTACATTTGGAATGAGAGTCATTGATGGAGTGTATGGTGGATGTACTAAAGGGTTTTGGAAATTCACACTATAAGTGTACGAAATGTACCGCATTTGGTATTAATTAGTATCATGTGAACGCTTAGAGCTAAAAACTTGAAATTCGGAATGGGAATTAAGATTGAGGAGTAGAGTAGAGTCCATGTAAGGAGGTAGTTTTAGAAGTGTGTGCTTATGTACACGAAAAGTACTAAACGGTACTAAATTTAGTGCAATTTGAATTTAGAGGAACGGGTGGAGCTGGAATCCTGAATTTTGAAATTAACATTATTGGCAGAGTGTAGGATTGAGATGTGGAGAACGTTGTCGAAATGTGTGCTTATATGCACGAAAAGTACCAAATGGTTCTAAATGTGGTACAATTTCGATTTGGTTACGATTTCAATATTGAATTCTCGGACTGAGGAAAGTAGGTAGTTTTGGGAAATCGTACTTCAATCGAGTTAGAATCCTGAAATTTGGAAATAAAATTACTAGTGCATTGTAGGACTAATGTACTAAGTGCTACTAAATTTGGTACTATTTAAATATTACTTAAACCGAAAGAGTTGGAATCCTGAAATTTGGAATTTCATTGGACTATATAATGTATGTAGTTATGAAATATTGTACCACTAATAAAACCCAAACTAAGTGTACTAAACGGTACTAAATTTAATACAATTCGGTTAAGGGTGAACGGATGAAGCTGGAATTTTAAAAAGTTGTATTGGGATGCCTGTTGGTGGTAGGTTTGTGATAAAGAGGTGGGTATGGGAATGTGTACAAAATATTTGGTACAATTTGGTATTGCGTAAATAGTGCTTGAAATCTGAAATTTGGTATTAGGGTCGCTATTCATGTCTTAGCCTGGACTTATGAAGGTGGTTTCGGAAATGTGTACTATAATTGTACGAAAAGTACTGAATGGTACTATATTTGGTATTGGGTGAGGGATAGAGATAAAGTTAAAAAAATAATAATTTCTGATTGTATCTGTGTTTGAGACTTGGCCGTGGTTTGGTAATGCGACTCATATGTGTACGAAAAGTTCTAAATGGTACTAAATTTGTTATTGGGTGAAGAGACGAAGCTCGAATCACAAAATATAATAAACTGTACTCAATTTGGTATTGGGTGAAGGGATAGAGCTGAAATCCTGAGATTTATATTAAAGTCACTGTTGATATCTTTGGTTAAGATATGGTGGTGGTTTTTGAAATGTCCCTTATTTTTGTAGGAAATGTACTAAATGGTACTAAATTTGGTATTGGGTAAAGGGTTAAATAGAGCTGGAATCCCGAAATCTGTCATAGAGGTCATGGTCTCTGAAAATTTAGTACGATGTATAAAGTTTTGTTTTAAAAGTATTGTCAAACTTAACACATTGTGTAGTTTGGGTACTTAAAAAGCTTAACACGAACTGTTATAAAGAATCTAAAATTTTAAGTGAAATTTTCGCCGACGAAGTGGAGGGTATATGATAGTATTGAATATTTTGTAAACTAACCGAAGTGTATTGTAGCCGATTGAATACTGTTTGCGAGTATTTTGTTGGAAATTAGGTCAAAACTCTGAATATCAACAGGTATTATTATATGGGGATTTTTACCTAACAGATGGACATGGCTAAATCGACATTGAATTTTACTCTAAGATCCTATGGGGTCTACGAAATTTTGGTGTGTTGCAAACTGAATGACAAATTTAATATACCCTACTTAGCTGAAATTTTCAAAATATTTAACACTCACCTCTAGTATGGTTGGGGTTCTCGTTAAACAATTCTTTTCGCACTCGTTGTTGGAAATCAGATGTTTTAATCCAATTATATTTTGTTTCAGACTTTTAGTCTGCGCTGCCTTACCACCGCCATAAAATTTCTTTAACGCACACACAGGTCGGTATTGCCGTATCAACATTACCGTTCAGTGGTTAAAACTGTTTATTATTGTTGTTGTGTTGCGGTTTATATTAACGTTTCATTCGCATAACTTCAACTGGAAGGTTGGCATCTTCTGTAATCGTGCTTCTGCGAGGTTGGATTGTGGGATGGTCTGAGGCTGGGGGTTCTGTGTGGTGGATTTCACCATGTTGACGGAACGTCCGCACTAAGCTTGCCGTCAATATGGGTGCCATGGAGGAGTCCGAGGCATTCAGGTTGGCTAAGGAGGGGTGTACCGGGCCAGGGGTGAAAACCAGCAGCCAAGAGTCCCCGCGGTAAGCAGTAGTGGGATAGCGTACCGGAGTGGGGTGCCGTCGCCAGCCCAGCCAATATGATTGGACCACATTCCTTTTGCTGGAAATTTTGAAAAAAAAAAAAATATTTTAAGAACATAATTGATACTAATATGAGTATTCTGAAATGTCTTGACTAGGACGTGAGTTCAAATCCCAGCAAATGCAATGTTTTATTTTTTGAAGTTTAAAATTTTTAAATTAAATATTTTGAGCAACCATCGCTTACGGAGTTTAATTTAAAGGAAAAAAAAAATAAAAAAAAATATATATTTTTTTAATATTGAGTGGTGTTGGAGGTTGAGTACAATTCCGAACAGTCATTTGGATTATTATTAATTTATTTACTATTATTTTTATTATTATTGTTTGTTTAAAATCCTTTTTTATACTATTTTGGTTTCGGTAATATACTAATTTAAATAAAAGTTAACAAATTTTTTTGCTTTTGCTGGGATTTGAACTCGCAGTCCAATTAATTTCCTTACTGGAAGGAATTTTTATTTCACAATGACTTACCAACTCCATTTATAAGATATTCATTCAGCAAAAAGAATGTGGTCCAATCATATTGGCTGGGCTGGCGACGGCACCCCACTCCGGTACGCTATCCCACTACTGCTTACCGCGGGGACTCTTGGCTGCTGGTTTTCACCCCTGGCCCGGTACACCCCTCCTTAGCCAACCTGAATGCCTCGGACTCCTCCATGGCACCCATATTGACGGCAAGCTTAGTGCGGACGTTCCGTCAACATGGGGAAATCCACCACACAGAACCCCCAGCCTCAGACCATCCCACAATCCGACCTCGCAGAAGCACGATTACAGAAGATGCCAACCTTCCAGTCGAGGTGAGGCGTACAAATCGTTAATGTTAGCACTTCACATTGCGTTTGAAATTCAACACGTATGCTTGTTCACTTTGGCGTGGGTATCGTATGAAAATTCGTTTGGCATTGCCAGATGCAAGTACTCTCTATAAATAGATAAACTTATTCGGTATTGCCATAGTAGTAAAGTAAGGGTTTATGTTATGCGGTGCATATACGTCGGCTGCAGTTGTAATTTGTACTAAAACTAAATTAGAATTTAAGAAAAATTCTAAAATTAAAACTAATTAAAATAAAAACATGAAAAATAATAATTTAAATAAAAGACAAAAAAAAAAAACAAATATATGAGTGTTAGGAGTTAACGTGGAGTAAATGTGGAAATTATAGGAAAAAAATGATTTAAATGGGAATGACATGTATAGACGCGCAAGCAAAAAAAAAAAAAAAGGCCGAGCGGAACTTTTTATACCCTCCACCATTCGGAAGGAACTTGAAATTTTCAAAAAACAAAAAAAATCGCCGAAAAACAAGGTTTAAATGAGAACCTATATATGGAAGCTATACAAAGACGTGGTGCTGCATAAGTATTTTTTGTCATAGACTGTAGTCACGATTCCGAACTTTAAACACGAAATTTGAAACAGTTCTGGTAAAAAATGACGCTAATATTATCAAAATACAGAATATAGGGAGGTACCATTATATGGGGGCTATATGAAGATGTGTACCTGCATAGACAATATTCTGACTTAGGCATTAGTATCCATTACGAATTTCAAATACCAAATTTGAAACAATTCCGGCGAATAAAGTCGCTAAAATCATCAAAATACCGGATATAAGGGGATGCCGTTATATGGGGGCTATACGAAGGCGTAGACCTGCACAGATAATTTTCTGTCATAGGATGTAGTATCCATTACGAATTTCAAATACCAAATTTGAAACATTTCCGGTGAATAATGTCGCTTAAATCATCAAAATACCGAAAATAAGGAAGCACCATTATAAGGGTATTTACCAAAACGTGGACCTACATGGCCAATTTTCAATATTAAAAGTCCTGCAGACATAATAAACATTTAAGTAAAATTTTATCAACCTACTTCATTTCGTTCGGAAGCAACAGTGATTTCCACAGGCGAACAGACGGACGGAAATCGATATAGAATTTTATACTGCTTAAGAATCTATATACTTGGTGAGGTATAGAATGTATATTTCCAGGTGCTACAAACGAAATGACAAACTTAATATACCCTTCATACTATGTTGGAGGGTATAAATATGGCCTAATGTAACCAATCAATTAAAATCACTTGCATTTTAGCCGTTAAAAAGAATAAATGAAATATTTCAACACTTACCAATTTGCCTAATATATGCCATAAAACAGATGTTATACCTTAATCCCTCTAATAAACAAAACTACCTGTTATTTTCTCTTCGTAAATCCCCCTTGAGCACATGCCGTCATGCTTTTATTCAAAAAGGTACAATTTTAGTACGTTTTCATCAACTGTGTTTGCCATCTCTGTCTCTGCCTCTGTGTGTTGGGCAGCAGAGCAGCTGTTATGGTTTTGCCTCAGTGGTTTGTTTTAGTAGTGAGACGAAGTTGGCCGAAGCCGCGCGAGTTTTTGATACGTACGGAAAACGGAAACAAGTCAACAAAAGAAAACGCATAGCAAAAATTTATTTTGCTGTCATTTAAATGTTTTGTTTTGCGGAAATGCAGTGAAGTAGTTAAAGCTAGAGCAAGAAAAGAAGTAAAATAAAAACGAAGAAGGAAAAGAATATAGCAATTGTGGAATAATAATTTGTGTGATTTAAAATTGTTTATTTGTGAATAAAAAGGGAGAATACCAGAAAGAAAATAAAAGTCAGAAAGTGCAAAATTATTCCAGGCGAAAATTGATTTTTCCCCAAGAGAGAAAAAGAGATTCTTTTTTATGTGCGTGTGTGTGTGAGTGTTGCTGACTTAAACGGCAAAGGAGAGGAAGAATAACATCTACGAAAAGGCTTTTGCAGTGGCAGCATAACATTGACACCCGAAAAAAGGAAAACAGCAACAACAAAAAAGGAAGACACATCTCATGCGTCTCAATCACAAAACCAAAGAGGAATAACAAATTACAAAAAACAAGTAAGAAGCAGCATATTTGCAGGGAATAGTTAAAGAAATGAATTAATTTTAACAAGTCCTTTTAAGCTACACAACAATTGTTGAAGTTATGTGTGTCAGTGTTTGTGTTGAAAGCAAACAGGATCAAGTTCAGGATCAGCAGCAACAGCCTCATTCATGCCCTGCCATATTTATGAGCAGCTGTCAGTGTTATGTGCTCGTTTTGCTCCTTTGTTTAGGTTTCAGTTGTCATTTGCTCTCGAATCGTTACCCCTCTTGAAAAATTCCAGAAACCCAGCCGTGGTGCGTGTTCAAGTAACGTTGCCTAATCTGTTGTGTGGCCCAACTGCCTGCCGGCCAGCATAAATGTGGTCCCAGGCACATACATGCGTTGTAGGGATTTTTAAAATAGGATATGTACATGTGTCCACAAGTGTGTCCGCGCGACTATGTGTGTGTGTTAGTTAATTGTTTTAATGTTATAACAATCTGAAAATGACATGCAGTGTTGTTGTCCTTGCCACCACACAAAACAAAAGGAGAGAAAAAAAAATCGCACATATTTTTGCTTGCCGTTCGTTCATAATGACAATGGACGACCCTCATTATTTTTCCACCACAGAGGGAATATTTTCAAAAGGACTAACACAGCATCCTGCCTTTGGCATGGCAGAACGTGTCAGTGTGTCGTAATAAAAGAGATTTCGTTAAAAATCATCATTAATACATACGTATTATATATAAATATCCTCCTTTTATATTGTGTTCACATTAAGGGTGGCAAAGGTACATCATCATCAATGCAAGAGGGAAAAATCCAATAAAATCGACAAATTTCCCGAAGGACATTGACTGACTGACTGCATTTGCCAGTGCAGCGGGTTGGGTTGTGTGTGTACTGCAGTCCATTAAATTCTGAATTTTTATAGATTTGGGATAATCCCCCGTTTTTCACAGCGCCAGAGTGGCGTTGCATATTTTAATTTGTGTCTATCTATCTATACATCCTTCTTCCATCCATCCTTCCACCTGCCCACCACATTCTTGCCTTCATCATTCCCAATTCATCCCCAATTTATAATTCTTCTTCTTCTTGTTTGTCTATTTATTTTTCTCCCCCCCCTATTTCACCAAAAAAAAAAAAAAAAAAAAAAAACAACAAAATTATTATTATTTGTTGTGAGCAAGAGCGAGGGAGACCATGTCAGAGAGTAAGAGAGGGAGTCGACAAGTGGAGTTGTGTTCGTGTCTATACTCCAGAAAAATATTGCCTCTTTATAATATCTTATCACGGGTTGTTGTTGTTTTTGTCGGTGTTGTTGTTCTGCAGACAAGTCAATTAATTTTCATTGAATTTCGTCGGCTGCGGTGGTAATCAAACACTTTTTTCTGCTTCTTTATTGCCATGTTTTTGTTGATGGGGTTAAGATTTCGAGTTCTTGCTAGGTAGCTAGTCGGTTTGGGAGGAAGCCTAAATGTTGCTTTGGGGATTTTTATTTCTGTTTTTTATGTTTCTTCTTGTTTGATAAATATTTGTCTATTATTTATTTTTAAAAGTTGACCTTTAATGGGAAGTGAACAAAATACCTTCTTAGCTTTACTCTGTTTGCATCGACAATTTGATGAAGTAATCCGGAATTGTCTGGGGATTAGTTATCATGTTTGGTTTGAAAGTTCGGTACGAAGTTATTGTCAATTTTTTCTTGTTTACTACTACAAGTAAGGATTAGAAAACAAGTGAATACATTTTTTGGAACCCAGTAAGGGGACAAAAGTCAGGCAGAGTCTAACGTATGATATCCTCTACAACTCTTTAAAATTAGCAGAGCTTCCAGTAAGAAATTAAGGTTTGCATTGCGTATTAAGACTCTGGAGTGGTTAAAATTTGAATGGAACACATAGAAAGCTATATTTAAGACATTTCTAGGCTGCATGCTATCTCTCGTAACAAATATTATTCATCCTAGTCGGAACTGAATTGGACAAATGCAGGGGAGTTGGTGCATCATTAACACCAAATTGGAACTATATCTAAACTTGAATCGATTTCTACAAATCTTGACATAGGTACATATATATCGAATATCATTGTTAGAGAAGCTTCGGGAAAGCTTAAATATCAAATCGGATAAAACAAATATACCGAGCAAAAACTATAATTATTAAATACAGGGTGAGAAAAAAAACTTCAACAAAGGTAAACGCCATAATTTTTACATTTTTTTTCAAATTTTATTGAATGAAAGCTAAAAAATGTCGAAGATTGCATCAAATTTTAGAATAAGTTTAGATTTGTTCGAATTGGTCACCTTTGGCACGAATTATGGCCTTCAAACGGCCAATGAAACCGTCAAACGCTGCCCGAATATTGTTCTGCGATATTTTGGCCCATTCCCGGCGAAGCGCTTGCTTGAGGTGATCGACACTTTGGTATTTTTTAGTTCCAACCTTGCTCCCCAAAATACTCCAGACACAATAGTCCAACGGATTGGTATTCGGAGATTTTGGTGGCCATTGTGCGCTGAAAATGAAGCGAGGAACCTCATTTTATAACCATTCTTGGGTGGTACGTGCTGAGTGCTGCGTCCTGTTGGAATGTCCAAGGTCTGCAGACAAAATGTTTGCGTGCCCAAGGCTTTAATACACCCTCCAGAATATTTTCGCAATAATATTCGGCATTTATTCTGATGCCACGGTCGATTAAAACGAGCGGAGAGCGACCATCGGCTGTTATGGCGGCCCAAACCATCACCATGGCCGGCGTTTGAGTTCTGGTGGCCAACCGAAGGTGCACATTTTCAGCTGACCTCTTTGGCAAGTAAGCATGAATACTTTTGTTTGTTTACAAACTGCTGGACAACGAATGTTTTCTCATCGCAGACAGAAAAAAATCAAATTCGGCTCTTCACCACTTTCGGCAAAGCGAAGCAACTCTTCAGCTCTTTTGAGCCTATTTTCTCTCGGTTGCGGTGTAAGTTCTTACACTTTTTGGAATTTCAATGCCTTTACCCCGAGCTCATTTTTTTTCGATATTTGCCGAATGGAATATTGCGATATGTTCAGCTCACGACCCATTTTGCGGCTACTGGGACGCGGGTTTCGATCAAGTCGCTTCTTTCTGCTGATGTTGTTGTTTTCTTCCGCCCACTTCCTTGATGTCGGGCTACGCTACCAGTATCACGGTAACGAGCCATGGTACGAGACACAAAAGATTTATTCACATTTAAATGCTCCAGCCAAATATAAAAAATCACACTTTTACGCTTGAATTCCATCACGAATAATTTTTTTCTGGAAAATTCTTACCAAAATGCTTTTTTAAGCTTGTAGACAACATAATGAGCTGTCACTGGAATAATGTTAATAGCTGTCGGACAAGTGGCTTAGCAATGAAAGCAGTCTGAAGTTGGTTGCAGTTTTTTCATCTCACCCTGCAATTGCATGACTTTATCTTCTAAATTCTAACATGACATATACTTGCAGTGTCGAATCTAAAATTTGTGAAATATTGTTTTGAATTTTCTTCCATGGTGGAATCGATCCATCAATTCCATGCAGAAAAGCAAGAGAAGACTAAGACCGTAATTCAAAAAGTAAATAGGCCTTGGTCAAAATAACGTTTTTTTCTACTCTCCAAAAAATTCCCATAATTTTGTCTAACAGTTCGAAAAAAAAACTAGAACATCAACTTTGCAAAATTCAAATGTGTGGCAAATTTTCAAAATACGAAATTGAAATTTTAACCTTCCCAAGATGAGAAATGCCGACAAATAAAAATCTATTCAAATTTGTCACCTTTTTTGTCTCTTTTTGGCTATTCAAAATTCTAACAATAGCTAATTAAATAAAATCAGCGCAGATTTAACATTGACGCAGAAGAATGAAATAGATTTGTTTCTTCTGCCTCTTCGTCTCCTTTTTGGGGTTTGGCAATCATGAATAAAACATTTTTATGCTAACGATAACAATATTTTTAACTATCTTGTCTTAAAACAATACAATACGCATGACAGTTAATGTAAAAAAAACTATTGTGTTTTTCAGTAGTTTTTTTTTGAAAGAAAAATATATGTGTGAATTTTGACAATCATAAATCTAGCTTAACTGAATTGTTCTTTATTTGCAAATTGTATTGAATTTTGTTAAACTAGTTTCCATAGCAAAGTTAATGGTATTCTATTTAGCATAATGTCGAGACAATGGCCATTCATATTTACACCTGGGGTAATTTTTCCCAAAAAAAAGAAGACTGACAGATGACATTGTTGTTTTGAAAATTAAACAAAAAGACAAAAAATTATGTGTCTTTGTTATGGTGTTACAAAAGATCTAGATCTCAAATTTTTGCAAAATTTTAAAAATTAGCGTGGGTTTCATAAATGGCAAAATTGAATGCTACAGGTTCAATGATTCTACTTAAAGCCAAAACCAAAGATTCACCACAAAAATATAATGGGTTCTAAGACATCTAAAAATGTAAGAACTCGAAATAAAGACATAAAAAACATTTTTGAAAAATTTCTGAAGCAATTAGAGAATTAGACGAACAATGGACCAAAACCCTTTGAAGTTATGGTGTATTTGAGATGGCTAAAGTTGTGCGTGGAAAATACCACTATATTGTAAAGGTGACGTACTCTATTTTGATTTCGAGACCCGGCCAAGCTTTTAATACCCTCCACCATTGAGAAAAAAAATTTTTTTTTTGTGAAAGTATCTGAATTCAAACGTGTTCGTTCCACTTTAAATTACAATAACCAGTAAGACCGTTTAGATTATGCTGCTAAACTTTTCAAAAAACCATAAAGTGGGTGAGGCCGTTATATGGGGGCCATATCAAAAGAGGAACCTGTATAGGCAAGGATTATACTTCAAGGATTGTCATCTACCAAATCTTCTTAAATACCACATTAGAAAAATTTTCGTGGGTAAATTTGACTAAGATTATCAAAATATCGAATATCGTTGATGAATCAATTTTTAGACAAATCCGTGGGAAAATGTGGCAAAAATAATCAAAA